TGTGTGTGTGTGTGTGTGTGTGTGTGTGTGTGTGTGTGTGTGTGTGTGTGTGTGTGTGTGTGTGTGTGTGTGTGTGTGTGTGTGTGTGTGTGTGTGTGTGTGTGTGTGTGTGTGTGTGTGTGTGTGTGTGTGTGTGTGTGTGTGTGTGTGTGTGTGTGTGTGTGTGTGTGTGTGTGTGTGTGTGTGTGTGTGTGTGTGTGTGTGTGTGTGTGTGTGTGTGGAATACATCTATTCAAACAGTTTTCGAATAGCAAGGAAATAACTCAAAATTCCTCTCAAAAGGTATGTTTATCAACCGCTGACCCCATTCAGCTGCAAAGGCCTTTCAGTGCCTAGTTGCCATGGCTGATATATTGCCGGGTTTCCTAAGCTTAGACAGCAGTGGTTGAGATGCTGGGACTGGGCTCGAACCACGGTAAGCTCGAGCCATCCGCTGACATATGGACACTAGGTACCCTGACGGCAGCTAAATTACTGCGCTCGAGAAGAGATATATGACATCCCGTTCAAAAAAAAATTGATATGGCAAAAGTCTGGCAAAAGCGATGTATTTCTTCATCGTACTGTACTGGCGTAATACTCTGGCCACAACAGTTGCCTGCACAAATCTGTCGAAAAAACTCAGGCGCTTTTTCCCAACCAGCTGCATTGGTTGTGTTGGTGGTGATGCAGAAGCACTGATGCCTATTATTCCATAATAATTGCTTCTTATGTCTACATATAAAGGCTGTTCATCCTCAGGTATATATATATATATATATATATATACATATATATATACGTCTGGGTGGGTGTCTGCACCCCAATTACGATCTAAATTTTAGTTTCCAGAGGGGTTCACTTCTTTCCAGTCTAACATTATCGCTCTGCCACGTTATCTAGAGGGGTTCACTTCTTTCCAGTCTAACATTATCGCTCTGCGTAGCACGTTATCTTGTGGACCAATTCAAATCGACCTTCCTTAGTCGGGGTCTACCAAGCTATCCTACCAGGTCGCAGCGACGTCCTGCTGGTTAAGCTATTGCCTACTTCGTGGCTTCCAGGAACTAGAATTTTGCAGGGATTATGTGAATTTGATGCAACAATGTCAGTTCACCGTTAAAGTGTGCAACTACAACGAACTGGAGAACTTGTAATGTACATGGTTTTCATGGATCAGTTGGACAAGAACGTTCAGACCGGACCCTGGATGGCATACTACTGAAATAACCAATCCAATCTAGACAAAACAATAGACCTTCGGTTTTGCTGCGGCAACGCCAGATGGACTAAAACGATAACCAGAAATACGAGAATCGACTAGAGTTTTAACTCAAAACGGGCTAAGAGTGCACAGATCTCCCTCGGTACGTCTGCCCCATTCATCGTACGTTGTCATTTGTGACTTGGATGCAGCCGCAATATCTCCTTCAACTGAATTGTCGCAACACTCACAAGCCCACAAAGACCCAAGGTGAATCATCACTTAAAGCACCTTGAAATGGAAGAACTAAGAACTAAACCGAATAGGAGATAATTTGAAACTTCCTCAGGATCTAGGCGACAAAATGAACCGACAAGGACCGTTAATTGGCATTTAACACAGATCCAGAGCGTTAACCTGAAGACATCTTACTAATTGGTTCTCCGTCTGCCCTAAAACTTGGTCAACTTGGTGACTCGCTCACTTGGTCTGATGAACCTTTTGTGTCAAATACGAAACGATGACCGGTTGAAAACTACCGATTGTTTACCAAACCGTTCTGAAACGAAGCTCAGTCGCTCTTGTTCATGTTTGGGAAACGAGGTGGGGATTGTGCCTCCATGCGTCTTACAAATTTCGGCAGTCAAGCACGACCGAGTAACATTTTGGTAGCTTCTCTATCGGCAAAATGTGCTTTAGTGTACGTGGAAATAAAACCTTCGCGGCAAAATTACTCACGTAGGTCACTCCAATGCGAACCTCCCGATTGACAGAATTTGTACCTTTGATCATATCACTGGCGCTGGTTCCCTTCAAAAATCCTCCAGGACCCTTGAGGAAGCCTGTGGCCAGTAGAGCCAGGGCGTCGTTGAGAGGGACAGTCTTGGAACGCGATGCTATGGAAAAAACAAGTAGCGCAGAAAAATACTACTAGTATAAGACATTTCAATCGATGAAAAACCGAACTACGACTCGCTCACATATCGAAACCAACAAATGAAAATGGGTAAACAAGGGGAATACTGATATCCAATTACAAGCAGTAAGTGGTCCAAATGTAATTGAGACGAGAGGACAATAGAAAAACACCGGGTCGTTTCATACAGATGCGTTACCGCCGCAAGCCCACCGAACTGTGATACACATTATTAGAAGGCAGTGTCAAAGAGGCTGATAGAATAGGTGAAGTCGGTGAGTGAACTCGCATCAAATTCGAAAGAACGTTGAGGCAGCTGGAGCCTACGAGCCCAAGAACAGTCCTAAAAGATATCTAAACCCGATTCTATCTCAACCTCAGGTAAAACGATTATGACCATTTTTTTGCCTTTCATTCGTTTATTTAACCTCAAAGGCCGAGGCAGCAACAAACACAAAACCGTATCATTCAATTTCTATACTAAGAACTAACTGGAACGACAAGTGACAAAAAGGCGCGTATTTCGATTTGGGCTCGGATGTTTGGAAACTGCACTCGAAATTCTGGCTGTCGCAATGAAATTTGAATGACATGCAGGATACGAGCAGAATACCATGTTTAACCACCAATCTTACAAACTCAACCACGTGATGCCGCATCAACAAACTCTCAGTTTCGGTAGATATCATGCGGCGCAAAAAAGGCAGTCCTGATGGGCATATTTATATCACGTCACACTTGGCCGGCTAGAAATCGAATGTTGAGGGTACCTATTTCATAACTTAGGCCCTCAATGTCATTATAATGGTCCAGAATAAATCGCAGATGTGAATATTACTTTCCTAATATAATCATACGCAAAATGTGACCGTCGGGAGCTGAATACTATAGCCATCTGTACACATTTGGTGGTGGCGGGAGAACTACGAAACTATATTCTGCCACGGATAGTTGGTTCACGTTTTCCTAATGTGAACAGCAAGCTAGCAGATTCCAAGGTGAAAACCTACGAGCTAGGCTTGTTCTGAAGAAGACATTTCGGTTTGAAAACCCGGGATGATGGATCAGAACAATCTGACAAGAAATAATGTTCGATAGGCTACGCTACATCCACTCTATCTCATTACCCTTCTGTCGCGGGAAAACTATGGCTCGAGAATTCAACAATCAATTTCAAGAGTGAATATTGACTGGACAACGCTGTCGTTCACTTGAATTCCCGCTCTCTTTCATGTTAAAAATTCAACTGGGTGAAGGGTTTTGGTTTGGTTTGATGTAAATATTTGACGGTAAATGAGAAGTATCCAGCCTATTTCCATTAGCATGCCCTATTTTTCGGAGAGCCAGGCGAACTAATCTCAGTGACAACTAAACAGCTGCCAAACAAACTGCACATTTCGCCTGAAATTAAGCAACGGACGGCATTGACCGGGCACGCCTGGAGTGGTTTATTTTTTCTGGTGAACTCTGGAAAACATTGCTTATGTGGCTAATTTAGGGGTAACGATTTGACAGGAGAAAATAAGTTGAGCCTTATGTAGCAGAACGCACCAGCGAACCGTTGCCAACATCAATGCAGCAACATCAGAAGCGTACCTTACGGACAACGATTTGTAGATTTAGTTCGTAGTGTTATTGTGAAATAAGCAGGTGACTGGAAGTGTAGGTGATTACTTCCGGGTTAACGGCCTATGGCTAAGTTGGGTCTTCAGCATACAGTGTGGTTGTATCCATCAATGAATGCAATAACACCTTCGGAGATTGACCGTGCTAAACGAAAGCTTCTGTTGGAGGGATTTTTCAAGGACATAGTAGCAATGAGACATGTATTTACATAAGAGTATGGAATCAGTGGACACCAGGGTGAAGAACAATCACAAAAGCCATAATGATAAGCAACGGGTGAACTAAAACGCGAGTCAACCACCTTACACCAACGGGCACATGCGCTGAGCAATATTCGGCACGTCTTTTATACGAAGTAAAGATATAATGCCCCGTATGATCTGGTTGCTGATTTCTAGGAGCCATAAATTGCAGAATGAGTAATCGGTCCAACGCCTGCTTGCAAATCATTTCATGGAACTCAGACAAGTTGGTAGCTTCTCAGAACAGGCAAAAACTTGCACGAAAAAGAAATCCGAAATTACAAAGTGGCAGACTGTGCCACACATTCTGTAGTGTGATACAGAGGTTAGTTTGGAAGCGCACAGCGCGATTCGAACTTACGTGTGCTGGTGGACGCAGAGCCGCTCAAACCTGCGGCGGATAATCCAAGTCCAGAGAATGTTGAATGGATAGATTGTTGTGACCGAGCCAACACGTTTCCAAGTAGCTTTGCGACCTCCAAACGCACTGCGTAATTAGATCCGTCCATACATCGGAAACACAAACTGACAGTAGCCTCCAACTCGTTGGCATGTATCGGAGCATAATGATTAGCCAGTTCGTTCATACACTGGAACAGGGAGCAGCAAGGAACAGAATAAGCATGAGAAGAAATCCAGAGTCTCCTCCGTCTACCAAGGGGTGGAAAGACATTTTCACCATTTCCCAAAATGCAGATGTGTATTGTAGCCTATCAGCCAGCTGGTCGGTCGGCAGTTTCATACGTCCGACTAGATCTTTAGATAGACAGTTTACGATGAGTATTGAAGCCAAAAACCACACTGGGTGAAGAAGTCAGAAGCCGATTGTGTGTACGGTATCAAATGACGGCCATGAGTAACGGGACATCTATGTGACGAATGTCTATCAGTTTAGTTTAAGCCCGAGAGATGTATCCTCGCAGTAGTGAATGTGTGTACATTGGAGTGGTTCACCTAAGTGAACCTAAGCGCAGAATTCCCTAGGAATCTGACTTTCTGTGAACATTCGGATCCACCACCCGCAACAAGGTCAAAAATAATCCAGAAAATTTCAACCGTTTGGGGCGCCGCTTAATCAGGGAGTCATGAGCGGTTAACCTACTTCGGCACATGTGCTGCGCACTAACCAAGTGATAAGTCAGGTAAATTCGGCATATGAATGTGGAGACCTGGTAACTTGGTAGGCGTTGATTGTAAGATAAGGGAACAAAGATGTGGATGAAAATCGAGAACAATGATAGTGAAAACTGATAGCCACTCTTTGGAGCTTACCTTCGCAGCAGCGACACGAACTGAAAGCACGCGGTCTGTCATGCAAGATTTGGCGGCCTTATAGATCTCTTTGTAAGAAGCTGACGCAGCTGAACCTACGCCTTCTAGCAGGCTGCACAGTGTGTTCATTGCTTCACATCTGACTTGGGATTCTGACTGTGAAAAGAGAAGCATTTTAAGAAGAAGGACTAGAGTTTTATCCATGAGCTGGCAATTGATAGCGCAAAACTTGCAATCATGGAATCGTTCAGCTGTAACACCCTTCCAGTGCCTAACTGCCATGCCACCCGAAGGTTGCACGAGGACTGGGATACTTCCAGGTTACCCAAGCCTAGACAGGGGAAGTCGAGAGGCAGAGGTCGGATTCGAACCACAGACCTTTCGGTTAGTAAATTCACGGTCTGACCACTTGGGCCATCTCGCCCCAAATCATAGAATATAGCACAATGAGAACGGATGTCTTCGCGCAATTGTGCAACAAATGGTGGGTTCTTCTTTTATTTAAAACATCACAGACTAGAGGAGACTTCAAACATCCAACCTATCAGAAAGGTTTCAGACTGCATCTCGCGCCCTGGTACGACACATGCAATTATAAATTTCCGAGATTTGGCAGATCACTATTTACCCCAAGTACACTTATCAATAATCAAGCAGTTTAAAATAAAACCTTGTAGCACTTTAATATCAACCTACGCGTTTTCGTTGGTAAAAGAACCATTTTGACGAACGGGATTAGACGGTTAAAGAATCAAAACGTCGAAAGCGTTTAAAAAGGACAAGCTCCGAATACATGGATGACAGCGTTTTAGACATATCAGTGATCAATAAGGTCGAGTCGTTTCTAGACAGCGGGTTTCAAGAGGAGGACCAAATTCAGTCTGTCCTACGGCATTTTCCTCAAATGAGAAGTGACTCGGATATGCCTTATCGGAAAATAATTCAACTCTCTTATGTAGTGCATGTTACGGACCGTGTTGCAGACATTCTTATTTCTTTGTATGCTGAAAGATTTGACAGGTACATAGAAGCACCAGCGGAGTTTACTACTCTTGATTTCATATCACTCGAATGATCATCTACCATTGGTCGGTAGTATGGAATCGAGGTGCTTGCAAGGCCTTTGGACACAACCACCAAACTTGTGGTCGGATTTGCTGACAATACTCTTACAGTACCGCCGATGATATTCTACAACAGGCAGGTGCTACCAAAAACCTCTGCGGAAACTATCCAGGCCCTGACTGCTGCACACTTCTATGGGAAGAATTCCAATTCCCTTAGTCTCCTACAACGTAATTTCGGTCAGCTGATTTGTCATAATGAGTTGACTTTGTAAGTGCTTCAGGGAGGGCACGGCGGCAATACAGTAACTGGGATGTGGTGAGGGTGCAATAACCAGTATCACTCAGCGATCGGCTCACCCTAGTAGCGTTGCCGTCTTACCGAGATAAACAGGGTAGTACGGGGCTAGTGTGGCAGTCTCTACTTCGTACTACGAGGAAATCCTGAGTGTCTCCATCACATGTTCTACTCGGCTATTCGTCCGGTCATACTAGCAATATCTGTCCACAAACAGCAGATTTTCAGAACTGTTCAAACTGCTCACAGTGATCATTCAATCAATGAATCCCAATATTTATACAAATTATGCGAATCTCCACGCAAAAACACGTGAAGCAACGCCCACCTGATCCTCCCCAACACAGAACAGTTAGATTCGGTTAGAATCGACTCGCATATATACAAATATACTCCTGGAAAAAACCTGCGTCAAAAACTCGAGATTGGCTAATGGTTTTCTATATTGCATTCGCTGTGGAACTCCTTCCAACCGCAAACTAAGGGTATCTTGGTAGTTCCAGAAATTTTCCTAGGTAAAAGAGCTAAGTGTATTTTTTTCGACCGAGGTCCGCGGCCTCTTTCGGTGCATTTATCTGAGTACAAGACATGACTATTTCAATCGAGGAAAACCTGACATCCAAGTTACTATGATTGGGTTTTCCCCAGTTAGAGTTTGGAGCACATTACAGGTTGCCAAACAGCGACAAAAAGAAGAATTTACAGGTCAGGATTAGCTGAGAGACCTAGCGGGAAGTTGGTTTGTTGCGTTTAGAGGGTGAAACCTTGCGTTTAGAGTGGCGAAACCTTGCAAGTGATTTACAAAAATTAAATAAATGAATCAAGGTGTTTTGAAGCTACCCAGTATAATAAATAAAAATGATCCGAGCACCGGTCACTTTTTGGCCTCCAGTAGTGAATGAAACGTAAAAACCTATACCATAGAAAATGATTTCGGCACACAACTCGATTTGCCAATGTGTGAACGCCATGCAGAATCTTTGATACGGGGCAGCTTCCAAAGAGCTCGGCTGGTAGAGCACGCTAGCTCAGCAAGCAAAGGAACAAGAGTTCGAGTAACTCCTGAGGCGTCTACTTTCTCATTTTCGTTGTATGTGCTCGGGTTGCAAGTTAGTAGGGGGAGCGTATAAGGATGGTGGTTTCCTGAGCTTGAGCTAAATCTGAACTTGAGTGCTTCAGCTTGGAATACGGTGAGGACTACGGTGAACGCAAAGCAACGGAGCGTGGGAAACAGAAAATCCTACTATCCACTTTAGAACTTTGAATTATGCTTCACTCTGAACGGTGCTGCCTGCTAAGTCATTCAAAATGCACAGGATCCATAGTAGGGACAGTAAAATGTAAATCGTGGACGGCAAAGCAATAACACACATTGAAACTTGGTAATGAAATTACATAGGCGACAAACAAGAGTTCATCACGTCAAAACCTCCCGGAATCCCACCAAACAGATGCAAAACCTGGTCGGTGAGTGCTGAAGGTCTCTGGAGGCGCCCAATCCTTGAAAGTCGTCATTTGTATATCACTGACAAGATCGACTGGGCAACATAGTGCAGTGAATTTGCCCCAATTAGTCCCTAGAAAACTTGCTTTTAACTACATTGGATACGCACGCACTACGTAGTACAGCGTGTCTGCCATTTTTATATTGCTGCCAAGCGCTAGGTCAAACTGGAGGAAACGAGGTGTGATACACCAACGGCAGGGGAATAAAGTGCAAACGGTATCCGTACAGATTTAACGAGAGTAGGTTATTCAAGTCTTCTAAGCTAGGTCCAAGGAATACTGAAACGATATCTTTAGCAACGCCAAGGGATCTCAGTAAACAATGTGTATCCAATATGGCATTGTAAACTCGATCATTTAACGATATCAAAACAAGCGGACACAATTACAGAGACATGCGGCAAAGCTAGGGAAGATTTTCGTTCGTTTGTTTACCCAGTATCCATTGTCAGTGTTTTAAATTTACCTTCATTTATGCTTCGACACTCGGCCAACGCAGAAACTTGGGATAATTACTCAAATCGTTCAGTAAGAAAAAGTTCACTGCGGGGCGGGAGCCATCTCGGAATGCACCCTTGGTTCCTGATCTAAAATTACTTAACCTTTAGCCGGGATTTGCCGCAGCAGCAAACATTTTAATGAAGACGCTACTAGAGCAAAGTCTAGGGATCGATTACATGTATTCCCGACAATGATACGGTGGTCTGTATGGAGAACCTCGTAAACCGGCCGCATACATGTTTGAATACAGGCACATTATAAAGACCTACCTGTTTGATTAACTTCACAATAAGTGCAACACTGTCATCAAAGGAACGTCCAATCATCCTGCCTAGGCATTTGTAAACCGTTCCCAGACACGTCAGAGCTGCTAGTCGACCATTCGTAGTCGAAGCTCCGTCGTCACGTGACTTAAGAAGACTGTTGCATGTGTTTACGGTAGTGTACAGGAGTAGCGTATCTCCAACAAGAAAAAGTTTCGCAAGGCAACGACCAATTAGCCTGTGAGTGGGAAAACTTGGAGATCGCGAGAGATGGGTCAATAATTGTTGCACGAGATCTTCTTGCACCTCCCGAATAGCCTTTTTGTCCACATTAGGCAATGCTTTTTCCAAAGAACGCAGCCAATCAAAAATAAACACAGGTTTCTTCACCTCAGATAACCTCTCGTATAAGGTGTCATCAAGAAGAAGTGATTCACACATTGTGAGCACTCTGTTGTAGCGACACTTCTGATAGGCGTGAGGGTTTCACAGGCACCTGCCGTGCACAGATTTCGAACTGACCTGCCCTTAACGCACGTAACCGATGAACTGAAGAGCGCAAGGGAAGTGCGGTGACGCTGTAAAAAAAAGAAATATTTTAGGGCCCTAGATGGCGTACAGGGTCAAGAATTTCCTAGGGACACATTTGCTCCACCATGGTGCCTGACGGTCCACAGAGACAATGGCAACTTTCAAAAAACAACCGTCGTTGGGCGCTGGAAACAGTTTCCCTGTTCCAAGATCTGTCGAGGGGTAAAATGTGACCGACGCATCCTCTTGCAAGACGGAACTCAAAATGGCTTTCACGCGTCTAACTCCCTGTGTTCAGACAAACTTCAAAGAAGAGAACCTCAAAAGAGAGAACACAGGAGAGAACTTCCGATGCCAAAGTGTTTTCACAGAGCGTCCAAGTGCCCTTTTTGAAGATAATACTTGTCGACATACCCCACTCTGTAGGTACTTTGGCCTCACTCCATATCGCGCCAAGGAGTTTCGTTAGATGGACCAACAAGGGGTTTCCATCTTCTGTGAACAGGAATACTTGTCGACATACCCCACTCTGTAGGCACTTTGGCCCCACTCCATATCGCGCCAAGGAGCTTTGTTAGATGGACCAACAAGGGGTTGCCATCTTCTGTGAACAGAACTGGATACACATCGTCAGGTTCTGGTGGCTTCTCACGTTTCAGTACAGATATTTCCTACTTTATATCTTCTACTGACAGGCGATTAAGGTCTACATTCCATTCCCGTATACGATATCTCCAGATGCTGTTGCAGGAGATCAGCTGAACTATTCTCCGAAGTGATCGGTCCCTCTTTCCGACCGGATTCTCTGCCAGTGAATTATTAAGCCACCTTTTACATTTATTGTTTCATTGATCGCTACTTTCCTAGGGCCAGTTGATCGTATCAGTTGATATAGGGAACGGTTGTTTACGGTAGTAAAGACTCTCTCCGTTTCCCGAGCTTTCGATCTTCACCAGAGCTCTCGGTTTTTACTTAGGCTATTCAATATTTGGCACTTGGGAGACATCAGTGCACCGTCCTACTCGTTACCTGCCGGTACGGATTTCTAGGCATCAATTATGGATAGCGATCTCGACGATGTCCAGCGGTCACTTGATTATATCGTAGAAGTCGGAAAGACCGTCACGAAGAGGCTGGACCTTAACGTGGTGTGACAGTTTGCACACCTAAGCGACCCACTGAGCTATATTGGGGGTGTCCCCGCCACACTCAGTCTCTCATACCAGGTTGGTCAATGGCTAGAGGTCTGACGAACAAAGTCTCCTGGTCCTCCAGGTTGGGGGTTGGAACATGTGGCTACTTGTTCCGTAGAAATGGCGATGCTATGTATTTCCCGCCAAATACCGCTAGCTTGTGGTTAGGCTTTTGAGCCAAAAGCTTTGGTTGAGGACCCTAATCGTCCTCCTGTCTAGGTGTGGGCGCGCTGACAGTATTTCAGCCCATGTTCAACCACGATGTACAACTATGTCACTTACAAATAACAATACACCCATGCCATGTCGGCCGCCGCGTGGTGCCACTAGCTGGGTCACCACTCACACTGCACACAACAGGGCGGGTGAGCAAAAACAGCCTACTACGGACGCTTCCCTTCTTTCTCTTTCACATACTTTTTCTTCCCCCTCTCCCCACCTCATTAATAACTTTCTCCTTGTAGGACTGAGAACTCCCTTAGTCATGCATCGGTTTTGCGTGCAGCGTCTGCTCGTCACATGGCGCCGACAGCCTCAAGTGACTAAAAGTCCATCTTCAATCCTCAGCGTCCGATCTATCTGGTCACCTTCAATGTCCGCACTCTGAAGCAAGCTGGACAACAAGCTGCTCTTGCTCTCGCACTCAAATCGCTTGGCATCAATGCGTGCTGTGTCCAAGAAACAAGAATTAGAGATGCAAGCACGGTGGTTGAGCTTACTACCCCATCAGTCTCCACTGCGCACCTCTGGTGATCCAGAGGCTGCTGCGGTGAGATGTGCAGGGAGTGGTATCCTCCTAAGTCACCGGGCGGAAGTCATCATGCTGCGGTGAGATGTGCAGGGGGTGGTATCCTCCTAAGTCACCGGGTGGAAGTCACCACCAACATCATCGACAGCATGACATCAGTGCTCAACACCGCTGCTTCGGGCGGAAGTATCCTTGCTTGACCGGATATCTGCTGATAGTCGCCTCTGTGCGGTTCACCTGGCAACGTCTGTGAAGGAGTCTCACAAGCGGCAAGTTGATAGATGTCTGTTTATCCTGTCTGCCTACGCCCCAACTGACTGTAGCTCCGACACGATCAAATGCAGATTTTACGACGCCCTGAATATTCTGTTGCAGCGAACTAAAAGCTCAGATATTGTGTTGGTTGCCAGAGATATAAATGCACAAGTTGGAAGGCTTAGCGTATCATATGTCAAGCGAAGTTGAGCGTGAAAGTCGACCGTGAAGTGTGGTGGAGACAGACAGCCTGTAATGCTCGAAGGTTATTTCAGCTGGTCCGTGCGACCGGTCCCCGGAAACTACCTGTGAGCGAAACTACCAAGGATCAGAATGGAGTGAATATCTCAAAAGAAGGCCTCGACCAGTGAGTCGAATACTCCGAAAAATTGTCATGGCCACCAGCTCGCACTCGTCTGGAGCCCACAGGCAACGTAGAATCCTGGATGGTGAAAGTGGAACCGCCTACGGCCTCGGAGGTTTATGACTGCATATGTTCTCTAAGGCGCCACCGAGCCTCTGGTCCGGATGCCCTCCATCCGCATTGTTCAAAGGAGGGGGTGAAGTCCTTAGTCAGTGCTTGTCTGATATGTTTGCTTGCATTTAGGAAAAGGAGTCTGTCCCAGACAACTGGGTAGATTCGGTGACAGTGTCCATTTTCAAAAAAGGGGCTCGTACTGAGTTTGGCAAGCACAGGGGGACCAGCTTGGCCCCGATCGTAACGAGACTGTTGGCGTCACTGGTACTTCGTCGCCTTATGGTGGCTCGTGAAACATTGACTCGAGAGCAGTAAGCGGGATTCCGGCATGGTGGTGGTGGTGTTGACCAAATCTGTAGACTTTGTCAGGTGCTAGAACAACGCCATACGTATAAACGACCCACAATTCTAGTGTACATGGATTTCCAAGGCGCACTTGACTCGGTTGACCAGTCTGTTCTTCTTGAAACGCTTGCCCACCAGGGAATACCCCGGAAGTTCGTGAACATAATAAGCCGTTTGCATTCCCAGACTTCCAGAAGTGTGAGAGTATACGGTGAGCTGCCCAAAAGCTTCCGTACATAACGTGCTGTTCGTTAGGAATGCCCACTCCCCTCATTCCTGTTTAACTTCGTGATCGATGAAATCATGATGGGCGCTGGAAGGTCTCCAAAACCCCGATGTTCAAAAAGCGCGTGACGAACACCTTGTTGATGTGGAATGGGGCGAGATGGCCCAAGTGGTAATGGCGCGAATTTACTGACCGGAAGGTCCGAGGTTCGAATCCCACCTCCGCCTCTCGAATTCCCCTGCCTAGGATTGGGCAACCTGGCAGTATCCCAGCCCTCGTGCTTTCTTCGGGTGGCATGGCAGCTAGACACCAAAACGGCGTTACATCTGAGCGATTATTTTTTTTATAATCAGCGTCAGAACTGAAATCCGTTGCGGTGTAAGCTGACACCACAAACGAGCACCGTTTTTATATCAAGAGGCATTGAGCTTGATAACCGGTGGAAGGACGACTTTTTTTTATAATCAGCGTCAGAACTGAAATCCGTTGCGGTGTAAGCTGACACCACAAACGAGCACCGTTTTTATATCAAGAGGCATTGAGCCTGATAACCGGTGGAAGGACGACTGTTCACTGGGATCCAATCCAGCAAAGCGTATTCAGCTCTGGGGCCGAATGAAACTCCCGCGTCATATATACCGCCAGTCATCGCTTCTGGATCATTGGACACACGGAGGAAAAAATGCGAAAGAGATGAGTTCATCCTTGGCGTTTATAATCAAGCTTGGGTCTTGTATGCGTAATGCAGGAACATAGCATGTATAAATTTAAAGAAAACATAAGCTTTCAGCGGGTATTTCTTGTTGGCCAATTCGACGTGGAGTAAGGCTAATAAAAGCTCCTATGTAGAAAGGAGCTCGTGGATCTAGCGACGTGATATTTTGTTTATTACCAATGGGCAGTGGGATGCATAAGATCCACCGGTTAGATAAATGATGGTCAAATAACCCAGTAAGGTTTGGTTGTGCGGTGGGAAGGGGTTAGGAAGGGACTCTGGTGGACAAAGAACTTCCTGTTTGCCAAATCCGAGGAAGGGGGGTTGGTTGAGATATCCCACATTGAGCTCATGACCCACAAGGCGGTGGGAAGATGTAGGGTTTCGTTCGGGGACCTTACACCTAGCCTCTGGTGCGCACTCGAATGATTGTGCCAGAAACAGATAACGAGGATTGCCGAATGATTGGCTTTAATCTTCTAACAATTTCAGTACATCAGCTAGAACATTAGGAAACACAATTAGTGAAACGAATAGCGAGTAAAAAGTTAAACACAACGTTAGTATATAATATTCTTCTCCGCCGGAGGGATTATTATCAGGAGAATATAGATTAGGCTTCGCGGTTTCGAAGATTATACGGTCGAAGACGTTGTTGGTCTGTGATATACTGTACTGGAACTTCACTGGGTTGTTCTGGTGGTGCCGTTTCGCCTCCCGGAGGATCAAGCGAGTGTGATTGAGTCTCGTCTGGAGGAGCCACAACACTTTCGATTGATTCAGTTAAACAGACATCTGAGATATTTTGTGCTCTGGGTACCAGGTGTCTAAGAGAAACAGTTTCTTCCCTTCCGTTCGGGAAACGAACGCGGGCATACTGCGGGTTGCAGTTAACAAGTTCCACCTCTTCCACTAACGGATCATATTTGGAGGAACGTGTTATCCTTTTTAACAGAACGGGGCCTGGAGTCGATAACCAAGTCGGAAGAGAGGTACCGTACGTTGACTTCCGGTGAAAGTTAAAAAATCTTTCGTGTGGTGTTGTGTTAGTAACGGTACACAATAAGGAGCGAACAGAGTGCAAAAAATCTAGTAATGTCCCGTTGTTGGGTCCTCAACGCCAGAGTGATGGACTTCCAAAGAGTACCGTTAAGCCGTTCGACTTGTCCGTTACCGCGCGGATT